GTGGCACAGTGGTTTGGTCGCTGTCATTGGCGTGCTTTAGACACTATGGTCAGAGGTTCGAGCCCCGCCACCCGAATTTGGTGGTAGGCAGCTCTGCCATCGTTCGGTCCAATCCCACACCTAACCTATCGGGGCCTTATGTGGTTCATCATTCCAGGTCTCAGGGCTTACGTTGCCGGTTTCCACCTCTGAACAGCAGGTCCTCGTGACTATGGGGTTCGCCCCGTCTGCTATTCATCACACTTGGGTCTGTAATAAAAATTTTGAAAAATCCAAATGGGCGGCCTTAATACAGCATTGGTAATAATTGCGAAAATTGAACTGAAATTGAACGAACCCATCTATGGTGGTACGAGTTTCGTTCTAGTTTCCCCTCAGGCATTATCTGATGAAACGTTTGGGGCATCTGTTTGTATTTAATGACTGGAACAGATACGTTCGCTTTTGACACCAGAGTTCTTTGGTGCTGCATTGTGTGCCGGCTTGATCTTGAGGGGCATATACGGCTTCCTCTCAAATAGTGTTGTGTTAACGTACTCCACCTTACTGAGAGGGAGCTTCATCTTCTGCTTGATCAAAAGGTACCCGGAGTTCAGATCGCGAACCATTAAGAGTACGTCCTTTGGGATGTTGACTCGGTTGAGAACTAGCGATCACACATGGTCTTCTTACCTGTTCCTATTCGTGACGACACCATATCAAGGATCGGATGCCTCGTTTCATTTTACGTTTCTCTTTATACAGCCATTAACCATACAATATCGTACGACGATTTTCCTGACTACCTTTTGGTTACCCATTTGGATACAATGCTAGCAGTATCAGTATGAAGGTAGATGGTTCAGGTAGACGAGGATTGCATGGATATTGAGTAGATTCACGAGAGCCGGTGTTTACAACACGCAGGAATCAACCAGTATTTCACACCATCAGTTTTGCTAATTCCGAGGTCCCCAACTAGAGAGGGTCTAACGCAACCCACCTCTCTAGGTCCCGTGTTCGTGGTTTTCATACCCTCATCATTGTCATCGTCTCGGGAGATTAGAACGCGCGCACCGGACAATTTCGCAAAATATATCTAGGATAAATTGGAACTAGGTAACCGATGCTAGAATTGCTGAAAGTGTAGTCTCTTGTGTTCCAAATTAAATAGGCAAATGAGCACACAACAAATTAAGCAGTAATCTTATTGTAAACGACAAATATGTAGCCGGTTCACAAACCGGGGAACAAGCAGGAACAAACAACTTGTAGGAAGGCAGGCAGGCCGACACCGGCTCACACGTTGCATCACATGCGAATGCTGTCAAGCCAGCATTCAACCAGTCAGTCAAGCGATCAACCAATCGACCGATCAATCCATTTGGCCACAGGCATGTATGAATACAAATCAGTCAGTTGTGGGCCACAATATGGTCATTTTTGCGAACCTCATTCAATTGATCCCCACTAGCACTAGTTCTCAATATCTCGGACTGCGCTTGCTGACCACGACTACGAGATTGCACATCAAGTTGACCATATCCTGGGAAGGTCTCGTTGGGCATCATCGATCCAAGACTGCAGAGCTTACCGTGATGCGGAAACGCTAATGGCACCAATCACACCCTATCGCGTGCCAACATGACCATTCGTAGAAAGCCCCACCTCTTGACAGGATAAACGTCGCATCCCGGGAGCCTCCAGGAACAATGAGAACCATTTTCAGGACTAGCATCACAAACCTATCTACAACCTCATAGACCAAAGGGACTGAAGGTCAATGGAACACACTGAAAACCATCGCACAACTAAAGGGGATATCACGTTGAACTAAGGAGTGAATCTGAAGAAGCACGTCGCATATATCCGTAAAAGTAAAAGAAGCGCACCTGCGGACCTCCGCTAAGTTTCGTGATTTTCGTTGTATAACCACCCGTGTAGGGAAATGTTGTAAGCGGTATTGAAAGTTAATCGCAGAGAGTACGGTGGTTTCCACTGCTGATGCGGACTATACCAACCTTTTTCGTTTCATCTGCAGTGCGTTGGTGATAACCTCTCACCTGAATTCTCGCTTACCGCTGATACAGATCGGAATAATCCAGTTTGCCGGCCAGAAACTACTAAGGTGGGTCTAATACTTCGCTCATTCCATCCAAACGAGCTACCCAATGGTCCGGAAGTCTTCAGATCTACACAGTAGGACTGAACTAGTCACTGCCGTGTGGTGGCTGAAAAACAACTTTCCTGAAGAGAACCGGGTTCCGTGGAGATTATACAAGGCCTGATTATTGGGACTCCTTGACTCTCCGTATTCATTGTTCCATTCACTTTAGGAAACTGCTATCCCCCAAAACGAGTGAATTATCTCCATCCGGCTTCCTATCCCGAAGAAGGACAGTCAAATTATGCAAAACAAACATCAGCTTAATCGACAGCGGTGGTGCTATGGAATCGCTTCGCGGCTGTAAGGGACTCACAACCGCGCACCAACCACGGTGGGTTTCATCGCGGAATGGAATGTGTAAACGAAATGTTGACGACGCGTCATCTCGTGAGCAAGATGTAACTTCAAACCAACCGAGGCGCATATACGATCCGTTGAGTTTTCATGTCGATTACATTGTTGCAGCATGGCACAGTAACACGAAATGCATGTGAAACCAGAGCGAGGAAGGTCAAGACGTTAAGCTTTGTTCAACGTACAACGTATGTATGGAACCGGAAAAAGGGAGAGAAAAAAATTTGTATGTAGGATATTACTTCAGGAGGTGATTGTTGAAACGGCTCTGTCCTCGTGGATCGTGGCGTTCATGTGCTCCAAGGTGGCATGCTGTTTGGCCTGGAGTGCTCAGACGATATTACACCGTTTAGTGAAGATCCAAACTTCTCTTTATGATTTAAGTGATAGTTTCATTACGTTCGGCACGCATTTCGCACTTTCGAAAGGTAAAATGTCATAGAAATGTATTGGTTCCGCTCTCGATCTCCCCCTAGCCGTGGAAGCTACACAGAAACTAGACAAAATTTTTCCTACATGGTTTGCACATCTCCCCAACCGGACGAAACACGGATAAAATTTCAGCATACACACAGAAGGCTCAGTTTGCGTTTGCCAACTTGAGACATCTCTAGCACCGTGGCAACATTCGCTTGTCCGTGAAGGGTTTTTATGCTGCCAGCCAATGCTGGTGTTTGTTACAGAGACATCACTGTTCCGGGAGAGAGAGATAACCGCGGCAATCGTTGCTTGAACGTCTCTATGTGCCTCGCATCGCAAGAATTTTAAGGGTTAATTAGAATCCAAATGATCGCGGTCGTGTTTGAACTTCATAGGTAAACGGGGTGAGTGGATTGTGCTAAACATACCACCAAGTGGGCTTCCTCGACGTGAAATGTTTGTCGAGGCAGGAAGTGAGTGGAAGAAGTCCAAGAGTTGGCGGATACGAGAATATAAAATTCCTGATCCGAGTTCTCAATATCATAGGTGGTATTAAGCTTCACCTTTTGGGGATCTCGTGACGAGTCTACTCGACGGTTCGAAATACTGATTGACATGGATGAGTGTGTTAAACAGTGGCGTTCATGTGTCCACTCAATTTCTATGTAGATCTAGTTTACTTGCACTCTATATTTTCATTCAAACAGTGCTCTTAGCTTTCAGCTCTTCCACCTACTGCTCATTGGTGCACTAAAAAGGTAACTGAAAGGTAACAATCAAGACCATCGCACGGCAGTCTGAGGGGAGTTGTTGTGCAAACTGAAACCAAACCAGGTATGAGAGAACCTTCGAGAGCAATAAAGATGATCTGCAGAAATTCGAAATGAACTGAACTGAACTGTCATCACCTCTTCCATGCGTATTTTTTTCATGCCATCTCTATCAGGCCCAGGTTTTTTGTGATCGTATTCACTCGATCGAGTTTTCAACTGAACTTCCAATGTCGTTCGGGTTGCGTGTCTATTTTCATTCATATCGTTGTTCCTTCTTGGACAGAATTTCTGGATACCGACGGTTTAATTCATCAAACGATTTAGTCGAAATATCATGGTATATTATGAGCCATCATCTACTACCACTATGGCCTCGATTCTTCTCGTGAGTTTTACAATCAACGCACCCATCCGCGTTCCTAGCTAGTGGCTCGTGATGACCCTGTTTTCTGCCTGTGTTATGCTCACAACCCCATCCCACTGGTGCACGCTCATTTACCCGTTAGTCCATTGCATGCGCATTCCAGTCAGCATGATACATCTTGCGCATCCTAATTATTACGGTACGACAAATTTATTTTACTCCCTACGAAAATCTCCGTTCTAATCAACTGGTTTCCTCCATCCGTAAATGTTTACAGATTTTCACCTCCACGTCAGACCTGTCAGACCTGGAGACCGATAGCTCACAGCTACCCAAAGATTGTCCTTCCTTCCGATTTGTCGGTTCCAAACAATCGGAGGTCGAGTCAACTCGTGATGATTTATTGTCCGAACACTGGTACACCCATTCCACACCTGGTCATGGGAGTGTGAACACTCCGGCACATGGTGTATTGTCCAATCGTTCTCATGGTATCGGTAAACAATCGCAACTGGGAACAAACTTCCGATGCAACAGACATCGAATGCGTCGTAATGGTCAATCGGGGAGAGAAAGTCCGTTTTACGGTGAGTTCATGGTTCGTTCTCTCCCTCGTTCTGTTCCGCATTTTGTTGCCTTCCTGTATCATTTGAGAAATTTTTTTACTGTTCTTTCCCGACTGTTTTTGATTTAGCTTGTTTGTTCTCTCTCTTTAGGAAAACGTCAGTATGTAACCGGTAGTTCTTCCGACCTGGACGAGATCGAGTGTGATTCACGTCATCCACCCCGTGGTCGTCCCGGGGTTCCTTCAGTTGAGGCCACACAACGTATAAATCAACTCGAAATTGAACTGAACCATCTCCGTTCCCAATTGGCCGAGTTAATTCTTCGGCAAGAACGGGATGCACTCGGTCCCCGGATCCCCGAGGGAGTTTCTTCACGAGCGGCTGCAGATGGTGAAAGTGACGGGTGTGAATTCGGGGCCAAACAGACTGGAGTGGCCACAACAACAGGACCGCCATCCCAACTGACGTGCCCAGTTCCAATACCTCCACCGCCGCCACCACCACCACCCACAATCGCATTCCCTGCTAACAAAACTTCGACTGATGATTGGCGTGCACGTCTGATCGAGAAGAAAAGAGCAAAGGGCGAAGTGAGTATTTTTCTATAATGATTAGATGATGAAAAGCTTTTTTCTTACGTCTCTTATCGGGTATCGACAGGGTTTATCTGTGCTGTTATCCAGATGCAACATCACATAGTGGTTCTCTTATTTGTGATGTGGCGTAATTTAGCTCTTCACCATCTCAGCAAACACTTCTATGTTCGAATACGGTTCCATATTCCGATTAGTTATCTATGGCGCTTGCCGAAAATACGCCGACAATCGACCGTTCTTATTCAATTCTGTTAGTACAAGCTTCGCAAAGTTTATTTTCGATGCGGCGAAACACGAAGGTATTCCCACACGTACACAGAAGTACTCGATCATTCCGGTCTCTATTAAGGCTTGTCCGTTAGCGGCTAAAGTATCTTGTAGTTGTAAACAATTTGAGATATTTTTTATCCTTTTCCAATCGCTTGACCAAGCATATTGTATCCTGTATATCGCGATTCTCATTGTTCTGAGCTAATCGTTAAGATACTTTTCCCTCACACTTTTTCAACTCTAGTTCTGTGTTGCACTTTGATATTCCCCACAATAATATCACTTCCATCTATTTTCTGTTTTCCCACTCTCATTCCGCCAATAGGGATCCTCGTCCTCCCCGACGGTCTCTAAAACCCCTTCAGGAAGTATGCATCAGGTATTACGTGAACTACAATCCGGGAGCATCAAATTGCGTTCAGTCCCACGCTCTCCAGGTGGTACTCCCATCCGTGCCCACAAAAGTCCTCTCAGGTAAATCTTCCCGGTCCATATCTTTGATACTAGGTAGATGGATCAGTCATCGTTCTAGTCCTTACAGAGTCTTTTCTATACAGTTTGTAACTGGTTTGGTATCGCATTCACATCGCGGGTTTCCATAGAGGAACCGTGACTATTTGGTCTACCCAATCTGTTACGCATCACAATGTGTGTGATAAAAATAAGTGACAGTCCTGTACTGTCGGTGCTCGTAATCACCAGGTGTCCGAGTTCGTTCTTGTTCGTTCGGTTTTTAATAGCTCTGAAAGTGACGGAATTTCGTTAGAACCATAGCCAGATGAAATGAACATGTTCTCCTGTTACCCATCAACCATAATCTGCGTAGCTACGGCGTAATTTGGTTTCCACTGGCAACCGGAAAGTATGCGGTTCAAGTTGAGCGAGAGATAAAAAATAACACCACCCTCTGCTGGTTCGTTTCCACAAAAACGAAACAGCTTGTCCATTGCTTTCTTTGTCGGTCGTTACATATGAAACTCAATCGCTTTACCATCTGGATGAACGGACGAACCCTCAAAGATTGATGCGTACACACACATGATCTCAATCCGTTTCGCTCTCTGCCCAAACTCGCCTCATTCACGCGTCGCAAACAATGGTGCCCGTGCATCTACTCATTATTCTTGCAATCCCAGTCTGTATGATTCCTCTGTCTCCCCCTTGAATTTGCTCTCAACATTTCAAGCTTCTATCTGCTCTTTTATACAAACGAATGCCCCCAAAACAGCAACCAAAACGGACGCATGGAAATGCATGGTTAATGGTTGTAAAAACGGAAGTTATGTGCACAAGTCCACAACTATCCTTCATTCGCTGTTGATTTTCTTTGTCATTTCCTCTCTTTCTTACCCAAGCGGGCTACATATTATTTGACCCAGTGAGTCTATTCATTGTACTAACTGTGGACGTACGCGTACCTATCGACATCTATCAAAAGATGGTGTTAGATGAGACGAAACGAACATGCTAGGGATTCCATGTTCACCAAAAAACGGTCTGTTAGGGTTCGAACACCGTATTAGTTGAATCTGATGAAACAACCAAATGGACAATACTACTGTTAGGCGTAGAACTTCGAGTATTCGCGGACACAGATAGTTGCTTGACGTCTATGAAATTCGCCCAGTTTAACCCAAGGTTAGAAACAGTGAAAAATGTAGTTGTGTCAAACGGTGGCGCCCGTCAGTCTACTCATTTTTCGCACACACACCTAGTTTATTTTCATTTAGTATCAATGTTTGATAATGCCCTTTACTTGAAACTTCTACATGTAATTTTCTGTCACCAATGGACCAAATGGACAGAAGAGAAAACCAGCCACCATAATCTCCGCATAACAGTGCAAGGTTGATGGTTGTGCAAACTGAAATTATGTAATAATAATAATTGTGTTGTGATCTATTTAGAATTGTTCATTCTGACGGAATTTGGCCTGTCAAGTTGTACCTCATGTGTTTTGCCTCGTGATTGTTGTGAATTCCGTCCCCGCTTCGTGACGGGTGTGTTGGCATGCCTTCCATTGCAACGGAGAACTTCGTCTACTTTATTCAAATATTGTAATGGTAATCGAGATTGTTTTGTTGCGTGCATTCTCTCTTTGCAGTACCTCGTTAGATCCGTGCTCCATTATATCCCGGGCGTTGAAGAACAAACTGTCCCGCATGCGAACCGCATTGAACATATCCTCCAGTGAAGACGGGAACAGTTGTGAGAATTCCTTGGTGGATTCTAAATCGGAGACATCGCATTGGTAAACTCGCGACACATCTGGTGAGTAGTTCCCCATTCCCGAAAACCATGACCCGAATCAATATGCTACATATGGTCTAGAATGCACTCTTGCCTCATTTCCCAAGCCTGTTTATAAGATGTGAATATGTCTGCAATGCAACCACAAAGCGTTTTAATTCGCCAGGGGAGATGGTCGTTGTTGACATCGAATTAGTGTGCATAGACAGTGTGTTTACTACTATTCTAATGCAAGAAGCTTTTGTGATCGCACACGCGTAACTTTGATGCAGAATATCATCCCAACTCCCTCTCCAACACTGGTAGCTTCGCCGGAGCCAGTGTGATGTACACTAGTTGACTTTTCGTTGGCGTTCTCACATTCAGTAGCCCAGAGGTAGAACCATCCAGGGAAACTTGTGGCTGTGCATTTAATTGTTTTGGACACAAACTTCTACTATATGACCAGTTTCCACGGAGAGGGAGGGGATAAACCGGTTTAGCACAAAAGAAAAGTCCCTTATCTAGTTCAGTTTTTCGAGCGCATACCTAAACTACAGTCAAGCAAGACAGCAGTATGTCGGCGCATGATCACCAGCGGTTCAGTAGGGGCTCATTCGACTGACGGAGATTCGGCTCAGGTATCCGTGTATCCATGCGGATTAGACAGACGTTCTTTATGCCGGTTGAATCAAGCGTTAGATCATTTACGTTCACTCAGGTATAATTGTCATCCCATACCGCGCGATGTCTCACCGGTTTTATTATTCGTATTTCAAGCGCCCCTAAATCCGGACTATGTACCAAAGTTAGTGCAATAATCTTTATAAAAAATATTCGAGGTTTTGATTCATGGCTACTCTCAATCAGATTTAGTTTACTTGTTGGTTGGTTTACCTGGCGTGTGGTCGCTGATACACGCTTCAGCTTCTAGAAGCCACGGATGAGAGTTGGGGTAGTGGTGTAGATCAGAGGGGGTGGNGGGTAATGCCCGGGGGGAGGGGACACGACAGGTCATGAGTACTAATTTTATCAGATACCACTTCGATGCCCTACCTGGTTCGCCAAGTATTCATTCATTGACGAACTCAGTACCTCAGCCAATTTTCGCAACCTTATTGCAATCGTTCGCTACAAAATACGCCGATGTTAAAGCAGTGACCGAAAAAGATCTTCATGGACCAGACATTATTATTATCATTCTTTTCCTCCTCTGTGATCACATGATAGTGCCAACAGTTTTCTGGAAGGTGAAGGTGGTCGGTCAAAGGCATACCAAGTGACACAATAAAGGGAAGCGTGTTAGGCAGCCCTGGAATGCGGTTTAAACACACGGTCTACGGGGTGATGGGTTGATGATCCTAACTGCTTGAACACCGACACTTGTGACCAGACCCGCACAATCATCAGATATTCAGTACAAATATAACCACGAGAACTATGCATGTATCTTGAGACGTAATTGTTTCTCTCGCACAACCATTCATATCCATAGAACTAGGTGGCCCAGCCTTTCCTCCATTACCAAGTTCGGTTCTTCCCTGACTGGTGGTAAGCGTACAGGCAATGAGACTCAAGTTTACCCATTATGAATTGGTACCAACTGCACACCCATTTATTCATTGTTTCCTTGAACTATATTTTTAACCTTTCCTCGAATGCTTTCATCCGACAAATCACTTGTTAGTGACCGATGAGATATCATCACATAATCAACAGTTGTACTTGATTACAACCAGGAACATCCTAAATAATCCATTTATGAACTATGTTCCATTTTCAGATTCCCGGTGCAAGGTGATGAAATACCACTATCAGGACAGTACGTATTGCAGTATAATGAAGATGTTTTTACTCGAAGTATTTAACATTGTGAGACAATCACAAGTTTCACACTGCAAATATAAATTACATTTTAACCAACTCTGCCTTTTTCAAACCCAAAGTTCGGTTTACCCGAGCCCATTCGCATATTTGCTCAGTGGAGGAGAACGATGCAGGGCATATGTGCAATGCTGAATGGTAATCCCGTGTGTAATAGCAAACCGAGCCAAATCCGATCGGTGTCATTGTGAACAATCCGACCCGGTAGACGGAACTTTATGATGCAAATATGCGACAAAGAGGCCAAATGCTTGATTGAGTAAAGCCACCTGTATACCAGCCGTACCTCTACACTCGGCGTCGAGTTAAATTGAAAAGATTCTTTGTTCACTGAATAGCTAACCCTCAAGCATTGAGTAGTGATTGCCAATCTGGGACATCCATGTTGTCCATCGGGCAGTGAAGGCACTGCCTGATGTATACGAATCGTTCTGACGCAGCTCAGTTGGCCATACGCTTGCCGTCAACAGTCGGTTCTCCAGGGAAAGCAGTCAGATCCCGCGTGCAACAAGATGCTATCAATGGTCAAATCACTGGGTTCAAGTTATACCTCTTGCTGACCAATCGGGACAATAATGGAGTAAAACAAAGACATAACCAGCACCGTACGCTTTCATAAACCTAGGTGGACCCCAAATTGTCGCATGATCCGGACTAATAGCCTTTACAGCTATCTGTAACGCTAATTGGTTACCTAATGGAAAGTGATGATGAAGTGAAACAGATCTTCGGTGGCTCTGAAAAAGAACCGCGATGGCGTTCTCAAACGAATTGTCTAGGGGAGAAGGATGGCGGCGTTCAAACGCGTTCCTTGATGTCCGGATGAGGGACAAATCTCATGCTTACGATTTAGGATGATTAGTTTGACGAGGAACGCGGTTAAAAGTGAAATAGAATGACGATCGATACACCGAGGCCTGAGAAATACAATTTTACTCGGGCAGTCGCCATATTCCCGGGTTTGATACTTTCAAGATATAGAGAGCATAAGTATGGTTACTTTCTTAAGTTCACGAAATTTCAGACAAAAACCTAAACATTCACTGCTTCATATTTTTATCCGATGAAGATGCGAAAAATCTCAGGGAAATGATTTCGGTCAGGTGATTCGCTTGAGTCGCGGTGTAAAGTCGTCAGGACTAGTGCATGAATCGATTTTCTATTTCAGTTTGTCCAGTCGGACAAATATCTTGTCCCATTGGTCAAACACCGTCGTGGATCCAACATGCACCTGTGTGTTCTTGGAATCGGAAGCGATTGATGATTCTAACCAAAGCTTTCTCATTTTTCTATGAGTGTATGCTAAAACCGAGTTCATATTAGATAGGCTTAATTTAGCATACCGGACAAAAATCTTTATCTTTTTGTCAATATAATTCAGAATATGCGACGGATTTTGCAGGCGAAAACCCTAAACGATTTATGGGAAATTTATCATCCATTCAGTTGAGTAGTCCCCAGACTGAATTGTTTTTCCATCAACTAACCCCACACTCGGAGGATTCGGGCAGAGTTGGCTGAAGACGGAACTGGTTGATCTGGAACTAATACCGGTGTCATTATGGCTAGGATAAAATGGACTCAGTACTATGGGACGATCCATAGTTTGAGGCAAGCCTCTCCCGAGATTAATTTCAAAAGAAAAGACCATATTTCAGTGCTGCGCGATGTATCTCCAGGATAATTTCTCTGCAGCTCAACATGGCGCATACTGCAGAAAATGCAATGTTCATATAGGGCTTTGGCGTGGCAACAAAGTAAGGCAAAATACATTAAAAACAGACAAAACATAAAAGAGGGAGGGGTAAAAAGGCCATATCATCAAGGTAGGGATAGACTAACATAAAGTTCTTTTTGCTGGCACAGAGGAGGTGGGGTTTCCATCGATTAATAACAATCGCTTCAGCAAACCTTAGCAATCTTGCGACTTGTGGACAATTCGAAACGCCGTGCTTCGGTCGATCTGGTATCGTGTCATCAGCAAATCCCGAGCAATGGTTGACAATGGGGTCTTGTGGTTTCGACTATCGTATCTATGCAGCGGACTTGATCCCTATTGGGCCATCTGACTCTGGACCCAATTTGGAATGTTCCATCACCCGATTGTGTAATTATCGTTCTGTTCTGACCACGTAGGCCGCTTCGCACCCATATTGGAATCGGTAGATCAGATTAGAGCTGGAGTACGGAGGTAGACGTTCGTTTGCCGGGTACCCTAGTTTCCCGGTAGGCGATTTAGTGGTTGGTTGCATTGAAATTTTGAACATGAGAACAAAAGACCCAAGCAAAATTGCAAAGATATCTTCTGGGATACATTCTTCTCCGGAATGAAACTTCGGTAACGAGGCGAGTGCCAGATAACCTAAACCAATGGGTACATAGTCATTAGTAACGTATTGATTACCAAAATGCACAAATCTGGTATGACCCTTCGACCAATACTGTCCATGCGAAATTCTCCACAACACAACACGAGTGGGTAACATACTGGAGTCGGTAAGAAAGTCCGTTGCAGAGTACTGGTCGAAGGATATCTCTGAACTCACAAAGGTTCGCGAAAAAATTAACATTCATGACTGCCATAATGACAACTTTGATGTCGCTTCTTGCTTTATCAGTGTGGCTGCTGTGAAAACTGTATACATCACTTGTGATTACATGTTGATTAACCAAATCGACCTGGGTATTCCGTCTTCGGTCCTGAAACGTCTACCAAAGCTGTGCACGATGGATAAATACTTTCGTTTTTGCGGTCGGCGATTTAGACAAGTCGATGATGTGTCTGGGTGGTCCGTTGGGTCCTGCTCTATATGATATTTGTATGTCTAGTTTGGAAAACTGTAACAGGCTGATCACCGCACTGCGGTGGGGCGGTGTAGGAAAACCGTATTTCATTGGGATCCAGTTTCCAGTTCATCGGATCATTCGCCTTTATCGACCGGGTCAAACGCCCAAGGTGCTCAATACACCTCGATGCCCAATTGAGGCGGTGACTACTGACACAACCAGGAAGGTATGTGTGTGTGGTTCGTNTCCCCTAAATGAACTGCCACGGCGTTTACCAGCCCGGAGGTTGGCTTTTCGTACTCCTCCTTTGGTGGGAAAACATTTCTACCACTTGAAGGCAGTGAGTAGGGCTTCC